CGACGCCGGTCGGCATGCGAGCTGCGACCAGCGTGTCCTGGGGAGAAGCGGAAAGACTAGAAGCAGGGTGAAAAAAAGTAAGAAAAGCGAAAGAGAGTAGTGTTACCTTCGTAGATCCGGTCCTTAAAACCTCTTGACGACATCTCATCGGCCAGGTAATAACAACCTCTGAGCACGCTCACGGGTCAGCGCAAGGATAAAAGCCTGCGTGATCCTAACACTCACATCGGGAGGGTGTGGAGAAAGTGACAATGGACACGACGGCGCGCCGCTCGAAACTGGCGTCGCCATCAACGAGCGGGAAAAGAGTAAACATGATGCCTGCTCACCCGTATCCATAGACACATCTCAACAGCTCCGGCTTGATATCCATATCATCGAAGCTATCGCAGGTGCCATCAGGGGCGCATACAGCACAGTCCTCGGGCAGTACACTCACTTGTCGACGACCTGGTCCAAATGTGACTCGATCTGACATCCTGACCCGTGTCGTCGTTAGCTGTACAGCATCGCCATCCCAGATGGCGCAACGCACGTGTTATCGCTATCGCAAGCGCCATCAGGCGACGTCCAGAAAGCCACGCCCGCTGCACCGTATCCGAGCGCGCAGCTGGGCGATATGTCCATGACAGCGCCGACATACAGTCGAGCATCGGCTGCATCGCACAGCGGCGACATGCAGTCGACCGCGGCCATCCATCCTCGCCGGACTGTATCCGAGCATGAGATGCTGGTGGTAAGAGAGAGAGGTTGGATGGGATGACGCGCCAAGTTATGTTGGCATTATTTGTCTCAAGCCTTACATCGGCAAGTCGGCATTGACCGATCAAGTCCCCTCTGCTCTTCACCACCACTCGACTACAAGTCGCCGGCGTGGACCGACTGCCCGACTTCAGGTCGACACCCGTCTGCGCGACGGTAGTACAACGTTGGACCGCATTGTGCTCGTTACTCCCCGAAGCAGACTCACGCAACGGTCGTCTCCGGATCGGGTCTGGAAGGGATCCAAGATGGCTGGCAGAAACGATATTATTGTACGTGCCCTGTACACCGTTCGTGACGTTGGAAAGCTAACGTGCAGCACAGACCAACATCGACGATATGCTGGTCAATACGCCTACCCAAGACTAGCATATTGCCTAGCTCTTTCCAAGGTACAGACGCGCCTTCACTCCGGGCTTCAGCCACATCTCAGTTGCCCAACAGGCCCATAAGGTCTGCTCGTCCTTCACCCAGCGGCTCAGATTTGCCCGATGCCGATGAGGAGCTGGGGAGCGCTCGTCCACCACCAAAAAGTCAGACGGGGCGCGCCAGACCAGCTTGTCCATCTGGAGCAGTTCTTCGCCGTCGAGCGCAGTCCCAGTGTCCCACTAATCGCCTGTGCTGCTGCAACAACCCTCATTCCTCCCCGCTACCATCCAGTCCGCTACTCTCGCTCAACGAGCCGGTCGACCATAACAGTCACCGAGACGCCTACGTCCTCGGACCAACATGGTGTCTTCTTCGCAGATTATTGATTGCTGCTCGTCTACCGCTATTCGGGGATTCCCGCGCGAGCAAGGCGGACACATATGTAAGCCCTAATCCAGACTTTCGTCTTCCTCCCTCTCTTCGAAGAAACCATCATCGCCAATTTCCTCGCGCTCCTAGTCGACGATAAACCTTTCCTCATACGTTTCCCGGTGCTTGTCGGAATGTGGCCCACGAAGGCGAACTGGGTATCATGCCTGCCCTTCGGCCACACGCTGTTCGGCTAGGATTCCCTCATGATACGACCCAAGACAAACGCCACCTGCCCTCCGTTGTCGAAGTAGTCCGCCGTCTCCTGGGCATACGCTGTCTGTGCATGGGCACGAACAGTCGCCGTCGTGAACATCGGCGTCGGGGTGCAATTGAGGATAAGTCGGCTTCGAATGTGGTGGGGTAGTCTTGATGAAAGGAGCTCTGGAGACTGTCTTCGTAAAGTGGGCGTGGGATGTATTCCGCGGTTAGCCTTATGGGGAAGGACAGTCTGGTTGGGGTGACATTTCAAAGTGCGGTGCTTCTTGCGCATCATGGTGGTCAAAAACTGGACGGAGACCCATGAGTAGTAGTACCGGTAATCTTGACGCGTCGCGCGTATGGCGTAGTGTACGGGTAGATACTATCTCGTAATGCACTGAGCTTGCTATGTTTATACCTGGACTATGGTGTTGCTATGTGTAAGTTGTGCAATGGCTACAGACATGTGGTGGCATAAGTATAGCCTAGCTATGAGCATGTTACGATAAGAATACAGGTCCGTGATGCCTATACTGTACTATTACACGCAAGTCTTCGCATAACGGGTAACGGGGACCTGTGAAATGAAGAGTTTGTGCTACCATAACGCATAACAGCTGAAATTAGGCCCCAGGTAAGGCCCAAAAAGGAAATTTTTTAAGGCGGTGACTGCCGCCACCGCTCCTGCCTGCCCATATAAGGAAATTGGACCCTGAATGAAGAGCAACGTCTGTGAAGAGTATGCATAACGGGTAACGCCCCATGAAGACTTGCGTGTAATAGTACAGTATTATGGTCTACCTAGCGGTTGATTACAAGCTAACTATGCCCTAATTAGGGTTCCTAGGCTGTCTATGCAGCCTAGGTTTTGCGCCACATTACTATGCCCTAATTAGGGTGACCGTAACATAACTTGGAATGGGCCGGATAATTAGGGCATAGCAATGTCGGCAAAACATAATTATGCCTGCTAGGCTGACACTTTTTGTGATGTCAGCGGAGATTACTGATTTGCGTTAGGTCCTGTCCTGAGCGATTCTCGGGTCCGATAGTACTTGCACCGTTGGGTAAAACTGGGGCTCCAGTGGAAGGTTAGCATGAGGCATTCCGAAGTTTCCGCGCTGTCTCGATCTTTGTGAGAAGACTGTCGGTGTAGAGATAGACCTTGCAGCTTCGTACTGCTTGTTGGCCGTACATCGACAAATGGAATAAGGCGAGATTTTTCATTTTATAGCAGCGTGCCCCGGTGCTAAGATATGGACTCGAGAATACACGCTGCAAACGACATCCCATTCCCATGTCAAAAGCAAGTCAAAAGCGTCAACGGAATTCCGTGCCGTATAATGAACGGTGACCTTGTCCGTGGTTTGTGTAACGGCGACATGGAACAGAGATAACGCCAGTACTGGCACCGATGGCGTGTACACGTCGTTGATAATGGATTGTTGATCGCAACACGCGTTCGAGGAGTGATCCGAGTATCTCCTTCGTCTCGTGAGCGTGAGGTGGAGAGTGGTCGTGTGATGCTGCCTAGTGGCGCACTATCGATGGAGCCGAGAATGTCGAGCTTCCATTTCCCAGCGTGGTGCACGTTCCGCAATACCAAGAGCAGTTTATTCGACAATATCACAGCGTAAAGCGTCCTCGGAATCATCTGCAATTATTTAAGATGCCTAGTCCGAGTTGGATGGAGAGTCGGGACGTGTCCAATTTAGTCGGGACTCGGCGGCATGACCGGCGCGGGCTGCCTGGAGGCTGAGTCAGCGACACATTGTATCCACGCACCCTCACAATGCACTTTCGCCGACTTTCTATTAACGATGCCCATCACCTACAGGCCGTCGACATCGTCCGACGCTGATCTGAATGACGCGGACGACAGCATCGTGCTCTCCGACTTGGTCCGAACTGGTGAGGCGTCTCGCCTGCGTCGCAGGGGCGCTATGCGGCTAGATCATCATACGACGGCAGCGCAGACTGCGGCTGCGGCGGACGGGGCGACGTGGGAGCCTGATGAGACGCCGAGGCTGCACAGAGAGAAGGAGGAGTATCTGTGGACCTTGTTCTGCGGTGGCGAGGAGGAACAGGAAGACGACGAGTTCGACGAGTACCACCACGCCGCCTTTGAACCATCGCTTTTCCCGCTTTGCCCGGCATCGGCGCCATCGCGCCCGACGACGACGAGACAGCCCAGACGAACGAATGGCTGTGGGGCACTGGTACATATGCGAGCGGCTCCGCGTGGGCGGCTCGGTGTATGGACAGCCAAGACCCGCGCGTCTGACGCTGTAGTCTCGCTGGACAATGCCTACTTTGATCGCACCGCAGTCTCGAAGATTGTACGGAGCGCGTGCGGGTGTGTCCGTGAGGGCGTCGGTTGTGCCGTATGGTAAGCATCCGCTAGACTTTAGACTTTGTCCTTGAAATTAATGAACGACCTTCTAGCGGCAATCCCTTGGGCACGCGCTACAGACCCTGCAAGACCGCGGAAGACGGCATCTTTGTCCCGCATGCTAGCCATCCTCGTCCCCACCCTCACCCTGATGGGCCGGCGTACTGGCACGACTCAGCAGCGTCGACGCCGCCCCCGGATTTCTACATATACACGTTCTTTTCTTCTGCAGTGTCATCGGCGCCGACGTACTCGTTTTCTTCGCGCCCTGCACACATCCGGCAGCACCATCCACCTCAGCAGATCGCTGTATATTCTCAGCCACCACCACTTGTCGACCTAGACGACAGCCTCATGTTCTCCCGGACGATAACATCATCGCCGGTGCCGCTATCTGACGTCGGTGAGGAAGATGATCGCGAGGGTGGCTACGCCATGGCTTCGAATTGGGCTGAATTCGCGAACTCGAGCACACCGCTCGACCCCGACGGCGACGATACTCCAAACTCTCCAGATAAGAGTAACGAGGTCATGCTGTTCCCCGAGCGGTGACACGGCTCTAGCTTGTTTTCCGTGTGGAGTTCCGATGTTTTCTTTTGGGTTGGGTCGGGTGCTGGGTCACTTTTCTTTACGATTTTTCAATGCGGACTTTCTATCTACTATAGTTCATCATTTACGTTGTACTTTCGTCTACATACACTCTACATACGCTTGGCATCTATATCACTTGTATTATACTTATCAAGTTGAACTGGTTGAACCTTGTATGTCCTGACGGAAATGTCGAATTCTTCGTCTTGGCATTTAGGTGCCTTGGAGGAGGTGTTGTTGGCGACGCCACAATCATGGCTACCTGGCGCAATGGTAGCGCGTTTGGCTTCGATTACCGAGCGGCACCAAACCAAAAGGTTGCAGGTTCGAGTCCTGCGGTGGTCATAACAGTACCATGTTTTTTTACACACCGTCGTGGCGTGAAATAACTGGTTACTGATATCCCAGTTTTGCTCGCCACAGTTAGGATATTTCACGCTGAAAGATGTCACTTATCCGCAACTAGACCTCCAGATTCCAATCGGATGCATACCAAGCACATGAGCTGGGCGGTGCGTAAAGTATTGAAAGTTCCTCCCTGTAGCTGATTCGAATGAGGGGATCTCGTTTAATCGCCGGAGATAACCCTGTAACAGCCTTCCAGATTCATCCTCCAACGCGATGTATCAACGTTACTATGAACCACCGGCAGCATGGCGAGGATAAGCTGCTTCACACGCCACTCCTTTCGATTGACATCGCAGCGTGTCTTGACGCTTCCAAAATCCACAGAACCTTGTCTAGTGCACCGTCTCGAAGACTCGGCTGTAGCTTACGGCTCACCCCCAGCCTGAGTTAGTAGACACACATTCTAAATGATCATATGAAAAGTCCGATTGGATTTGAACGAAGGGTATATGGAATATCTACACCTAATACTTCCTCGAGGTCAAACTGACTCGGACCACAATGAGATCTGCCCGAAGGGTGTTTAAGCGGCAGTCAAACCCTGCGGGATTTCAGCGTTAGAGCCCTATGTGTCGGTGGAGCCGCTGTAGCAGTCTCGCGCTTGGATGGGGACGAAGTGAGGCATAGACGGAAGGTCACAGTGCCCCACCGGCGTCACTGCACTCGTTGACGTGTAGCAGGAGTCTCGCGCTGCACGAAGAAGGTAAGTATACTTTGAATGGGATATCGATCAACGTACGAGATCACGGCTAAGTATATCGTAGTCGATGAATGCGAAATAACTGCAGGGTACTAGAAAGGCCGCCGAAACGTGTCGGAGGGTGGAAGCAAAAGATGTGTTTGGGAGGACGTCTGAGGTGTCTGCACTGGGAATAGTAGCCCGGTCGCGTAAAGAGTTGCCGCTTACCAGTACGCACGGGAAATCCTGAGTCGAACGCGGCATGTCCATATGGCCGTCTGTATTTTCCCTCGAAGACACGGAAGGAGGTTTGGATGTGATTACCTCCGTCCAAGAAAGAAAGCGATACTTGCGCGATAGCTCGGCTACGGATGAAGCGTGGATTTCCTGGCAGATCGATGGATAACAAATGAGGCGAGAACATGAATTGACATTAGCGACTCACAGATGATGAAGCGCCCAAAGAAGATCTCGAAAACACTACCATTTTCGCGTAGATGAATGATAGGCGCCTTCGGCGGGTGCGAGCCACCTTAATTGTATGTCAGCGCTGTACGGAACGAATACGGTCATAGAATATATAGCCGGGGCGTAGCTCCGGTTATCGAATGCTCAAGAAAAGACGCGACGTTCTGGAACTGTTGAATCATGGAATCGAGTCGATGTTGCTGGTCGCGGTTAAGAGCAAGAGCGTGATCAAGAATCTTCCCACGGTTTGTTGATGACACGTAGCATAAGGCGGCCTGATGTAACTCAGGCTGTTATTTTCTCCTCTACATGTTGTTTTCAGGTCCTGTCATGCTCTTAGTTGTCGGTGACGTGCCTAGTACGTAAGGAAGGAAGGAAGGAAGGAAGGTTTATTCTCGGAAAAGGTCCTAATCTAGTACTTATGGCCAGCAGAAAGTGTGTCATTCGATGGTGGCTTTGGCCTCTCTAGTCTACTGAATACTCTTGATTTGAACGTGTATAATCAGACAATGAGCTTTATTCGGAGGGTAGCGGATCAATCTTAAAGTCCAGCCGACCCAAGTAGGGGAAGTTGAAGACGTCCTGGAGCGCGCACGATACTGTCTGAAAGTTCAATCAGAAAAACCAGCGATGATAATTGTATGATTACTCACTTCGTCTGATTCCCCGATTGTTCGTCTTCGCAGCGTGTCTCGATGCTCCTCCAAGACCCCATTCCAAATCCGCGTCCCTAAGCCAGATTCTTTCGTATTAGGTTCTAAAATTTGGAGCTCTTCCAATCCGTCATACGCCGTCAGGTACTTCAGAAGGGAAGGTTTGAATTTTTCGGAGACAAGCTTGAGGTTTGCCAGATGCACTCCCGCCTGTCCTAGCGCAACCCAAAGTTCATCCGACTCGGATGGGCTCATCAACAAAAGTGTAAGTTGCTTCAGATGGCGAAGCAGCGGATGTCCTGAATTCTGCTTCGAGAAATCTTGGACAATGTCATCGAAGACGGAGCTGAAGTGGCGCCCACTGACAGAGAGTCGGGAGAGTCGGGAGTTCTGAGATAGGAGTGATTTAAGGACCCTGTTGTCGAAGGTGCCATCTAGATGAAGAACTTGTAGGTCCTTGAAGTTGGAGAGGGCGGTCCAGATGTCGGCGGTCCTGATTTTGACATTCGGGGGTTGTAGTTCAATCGACACGTACAAGTCTTTGATAGTCGTCCGACTGGAAACGGTCTGCAGGACTTCCTGGAACCAGGAGATGTCGTCGGAGGTGCACCGTGAGTTGCTGCCGATCCGTACCCTTATGGGGTGTCAACAATTTTGCTTCTATACCTTCAAAAGAGACTAACCCGAATTGACTGAGTGAAGGCAGTTTTGAGTCTGTATTCAGAACATGCAAAAGATGAGTATGCAGTTCCTTACGCCGGGCTTGCTGATGGGCTATGTGACTTTGCTCCCTGACAAACATTGAATCCAGGTAGTCGATCCGGACGAGCCGGACATGGAATCCGAGATCTGTTTCGCCTTTGTCGATGGCGCGTAGGAAGCCTAGGCGGGCCTTGTTGTTAATCTCTTGATGTCCAAAGGTCTCAGTCGTCAGATCGACGACAACCTGAGAGAACAGCAGCCTGTCTGCGAGACGGTTTGCGCACTCTCGACTTGCAAGTCGGAGGCTCCTGAGGGCTTGAGGATTCAACTGGAGGCATTCAGAACATCGCCATAGTAGACGACGGGCTCTTACAAAACGACAGATCTCCGACCAGAGTTCCGGGGGTAGTCTCGGTGCCATAGAGGGATAAAGAGGACAGTGGAACGAGGTAGGATTATGGAGCCTTGTTCACCTTATAGAGGAATCGGATTGGGCTGTGTCTAGAAGATTCGAAGGGCACGTCACCAGGAACAATAAATGCCATTGTCTTCTCCGAGATACAACAGCGTTGCGCGTGGGTACCTGCGTCGCCCTGCCTCGTGTGGGGCCCGAGAAAAATGGAGCGTTGTTACAATGTTACAATATTCGATTGCGCCTACGCCGAACGAACCGAATATTGTCTGTCCATAGATCAGATCAGCCGAAGGAACGGAGCAAGGTTGCGTACCATATCACGCATGTCTTCGTGAGTCAATTGCTTAACCCCGACGAATCCGAGCTGACGAGGAGGGATTGATGACGGCGCCTGTTCCATTGTCGAGGAATGACGGTATTCCACACATGACGAGGGTAGTAGACCGGGAAGTCGCGCCAAAGATGCTACGAGTCTCTTTGCGTAATTGTGGCGGGTCATGTGCTTTTGAAGTTCACCGTCGTTCACTGATATCGTGTTTGTCGTGATCTCAGAATTAAGTTTACGACTAAATTATGGAAAGGGTCGTTTACTTTCGTTCGCTTTCTTCGACGTTTCCAATCGGATTCTCTTCCAGAGCAGTGGAACCCCGTCGCCCTAGAAAGTGTAGTGTAAGCCCTCGAATTTGAGTTGTGCATTGAGAGCCTGGCATCTCTCTGAGCGGGACTCGGTGGCGAGCACATCGGCGCTCGTACTTGGCGAGGAGTGAAAGTGAGTGGCGAGCTTAGTCAGGCGTGAGATCAGGGAAGAATGATCACCCGGGTTTGTCTTCCTTACCACCATCATAATTCCCTGGGATCCTTCGCATCGCTCTTGACGGACTGTACGCACTCAGTTATTGCCCTCCATACAGTCCATTCAATGCTGACCATGACTATTGACCAGTATACTGCCTTTTGACTTATGGACGTGCGACCAAGCAGTCCCAGTCGGGATCTGGTCGCTCTAGTCGAGTCTCATGGCGTCCGAAATCTCCTAGAGTCTAATGATGCCCCGACTGATGATGCCCGCCGTCATCTGGAAGCGTCCCGGGAGACAGGTCGCGCCCATTTCGCGTCCTTGAGCGAGACCATCGATTCCCTGACTGTACAGCTTGCCATAATGAAGGCCGATGCTGTGCAAGTCTCGAAAGGACTCACAGTTTTGGATACCGTCCTTAACCCAGTACGGATGGTGCCACACGAGATTATTGGCCGCATCTGCGAGCTTGCCGTGGACGACCTCCCCGAAGTCACGTTGGAGTATCTCCAGTCTCCCGAGGTCGTCGACTCCCTATCCATGCGACATCCGTCATGGACGCTCTCCCATGTATGTCGCCAGTGGCGTCACGCCATTCAAAATTATCCCCCTGCTGGACAAATGTTGTCCTTTCGTTCGACCGTCCCGCGCAGTCGATAAAACTAGCGCTTCTACTCATGGAGCTCATGAAGCATGTCCGAAGTTTTCCGTTATCCTTCTCGCTGCACAGTCGTAACCCGATATCCCCTCATTGCATTCCTTTGATCCTTCAGACCTGTTCTCGTTGGAGACACGCCTGCCTATCGCTCATCGTCAGTGAATTCCTCGTCCTCGCGGAGATGAAGCACGCCTTGGTGGGCTTGAAAACCCTGGCCATAGACATGCACGATCTTGCGCGCTACGCTTTCCCGCTTCGCATTGATACTTTCGATGAGGTAGCGCAGTTGGACCAGTTGACAGCCCGCAGACACGTCGGGTCCTTACCGATTGTGCTCCCAGGCCTGTCTTCCCGTGTACGACGTTTCGTTCACGACGGTGACTTGGTGTCTACCGATGCAACGGGGGCTTGTCGTTTCCTCTGCGCTAGTGTTATGTTAGAGTCTGCAAGCCTCGCACTATCACCCGAGAGGATTCCTATGCTCCCCCATTTACCACCAGAGAGTGCAGGCGTGCGAAGACTAACGCTACGGGAGGGACATGGGTACCCATCCTTCACGTTACCTA